GGTTTGACTCGATAGATTGTTTAAGGCTTTCAGTTGTGCGAGGGACATAAGTACTTTGCGGGTGTCGTTGCGGCGAAGTGCTGAGAAAGGATGGACCAGAGGAAGAGCGTTTTGCAGAGAAGAAATGAAGACGATGGGACAAGACGTTGTGGGTTCAGGAACACTTGCATAATCGAATTCATTCTCGGTTACTTGTTTGTCATGGAGGAGTAGGATCCACGTTTTGGGTCTCATGGAACTATATTGACTTGCCGTGTCATTACGATGCATAAGAGCAGGGGGGCTGTAAGATATACTCGTAGCATAGTATTGTGGTTTAATATGGGACATGGATCTACGGAGATTGCAGTTGGGAGATCGCGGAGGAACAGGGAGTTTCTGCTTGGTTTCTTCGGAGATTTGATGAGTGATCTGAATTGCGTGACGGATAGGTGTGGTGACGCACTCTTCGGCTGCTCGGCCTCGAGTGGTCTCTGCCCTTCCCTCTTGCCTCTAATACAAGACTTTCCCATCTCGGCCCTCACTGGCCGAGCTGCCTTTCTCCACAAACCTACAAGCTTCGGCCTACCCGGTTTATCCAACAACGCAATTTAGATCACTCATCGAATCTCCGAAGAAACCAAGCAGAAACTCCCTGTCCCTCCGCGATCTCCCAACTGCAATCTCCGTAGATCCGTGTCCCATATTAAACCACATTACTATGCTACGAGTATATCTTACACGTTTCTTGCTTAGGTGAGGAGCACGGGCAACGTCATTGGGGCGTAACATGACGAGAACAACGATAGCAAACGTTTTGTCTCTCTCTTCCCACAGAACCCCCCCGCCCTCATCCGAGGTTAATGGTCTTACGACTCCGCCATGCACGGCCATGAGTACACCCCTCCCCCCCCCACCCTAAGCAAATCCCTGAAGCCGTCTTCGTCTTTGCCTCTCTCTTGCCAATTATCCCCTGTTGCATCCCAGCACTAGCATTTATCTCTATCCCACACGCACCATCTTCCAATCACCGCGAGAGGATCGGCCAGGGCGCCTGGGTCAGACACATCGGCGGCACCTAGGGCCGTCAGGAGCTCTCCCGTGGCCCCGTCGAAGACCGCCAGCGATGGAGTTCCTCGCACCTGCCGCATTCACCGTGTTGGGCGGTACCACAGCTGTAGTACGCTGGTTGGCGTATGTGGTAGAGGCTTGGTAGAGAAAACAAAAAGAGTGATTTATTATCCACACACAGACGCCTGGACTGTCTGCACCTGACGGTTACAGTAAAACAGAACGCCTTCACAATACCGTATCAAACACATACAGCAGAATAGAGTCGGTCTTGCATAGCAAACACCCCAACATGTCCTCTCAAGAACGTACGTCATTCTGATACATGAGACTCGAATCTGCTCTCGATGTCCTCTCAAAATAATATCCTCTCGAAAACAACTCACGAGTACTTGCGATCTCAACTCAAAATTAAATAGTCATTACCTGCCATTTCAACAAGCAGCGAAAACATTCCTCTTACACAGATCTCCCGAGTTTCCTTCAACATTCAACCCTTAAGAATACGAAGAGGGGAGGTGACTACATTCATTCCTAGAAGCTGGCGACGGTTGTTGAGAAACTTAACCGTTCCTAGGTTCTTGGTCAACATGTCAGCCTTCTGGAGGTTGGTGTCGATTTTCTTTACCTCCACTACCGATCAGCGACCTTACGTGGTGATACTTGACATCGATGTGCTTCGTTTTCTGCGTTACTTTGTTCGATTCACTAGTCGATATGGCAGCAGTGCTATCCTCAAACAACACCGTAGCCTCCGTCTGCTCTCGATTGATGGTCTTGAGAAGATGACGCCAGTGTAGGATCATTTTGCACGCCTTGGACATTGCGACGTATTCTGCCTCAGCCGACGACGTGGCAGTGACCGTCTGCTTTACACTTGTCGTACGTCGTGGTCGTAGAGCGACTGCTCTTCATCGTTCATGCTCGCTCTCCAGCGTGCTGCATCCGGTCCACTCATCGCTTCATCGTAGGTGGCAGGATCGGCAGGCATGTAGCCCACCTCCCCGGGACTGCCTCTCCCGAGGTTGCCGAAGTCACGTCCAGTCACCATAGCATGTTCGGTCCTCTCGTACGCCTGTTCTTTCGTAAACAGATTCAACCGTTGCGGCGCCACGGAGTTCCTGCTGCTGCGGCGAGGTGCCGGTGCTTCCGGCTCCGATTCGTCGGATGATTCTTCGTTATTTTCTTCTTCTTCTTCGATAGAGTCTACCAGACCAGGCCGATAGAATGTTGAGTTAGGCGCGGGGAGAGGATCTTGCCCTAGTTTGGGCTTGATCACGTCGCGCATCTCCTTCTCACGGAACGATACCTCCACGGAGTTGGTGATTTTGAGAGGCTCCGAAGGGTCCCAAAGTCGATACGACCTACCCTTGGAGTTGTAGCCTACTAGGTACATTTTCTTGGCCCTGGCCGCCAACTTGTTCGACCGGGCGCGTACCTCTTCGTGCTTAAAAGCCAGCGACCCCCACTCGTGGATGTGAAGCATCTTTCCGAGCGGCTTCCCCTCCCATACCTCGAGTGGTGCCTTGCCGCCCAGGACTTCGGTCGGGGTCCGATTCTTGAGGTAGATTGCAGTCATGAAAGCCTCCCCCCACAGCTGTTGAGGAAGGTGCGGTGCTCCCAAGAGAAGCTTGCGGGCAGTGCCGATGATGGTACCAAATCCACGCTCGGCGATGGGGTTCCCTTGCGGGACATAGGGGGGGCTATTCGTGAGCTTGATTCCGAGCGACTTACATAGCGCCAGAAACTTGCCCAAATACTCCGCTCCCCCGTCGCAGTGCACCGTGCCGATGCTCTGACCAAGCGGGTCGGCCTCGTCCCGAACCAGAGTTTGAAGAGCTTCGGCCGTTTCGTCTTTCGTCTTGAGTAGGTAGCCGAACCTCATGCGAGTAGCGTCATCAGTAAACATCACGGCACTCTGGCAACCCCCGTATGTAGCAATAGGATGTTTCCCCCACGTATCGGCATTTAGAATTTCCAGCCGAGTCTCCGAGAGGGGACGGTTAGACGGGGGGTGGCTGCCCTTCTTACTGTCACCAACCGCACAAACACCGCAGTCACCTGGTTCGATGTTGGGATTGAACCTGATTCCGGTAGTGTCCTTGTCCGCCAGCTGCTGCAGCGCTCGCGAGTTGCAGTGGCCCATCCTCCGGTGCCACAGGTGAGCGTCTACCTTCGTGCGATTTACTTCTACAGCGCCCAGGTTGACGTCGTCGATGATGACATTCAGCACGTACATGCGAGGCACTGCGGTCGAGATCGGAAAGACCTGGTTGCCCATGCGAAGCGCCGGCGGGGTAGACATCAGATCACACATCAACCCCTTCTCGGCCAGCGCTCCTGATAGTAAAAGCTTACCCATTAGACTAAGACAAATGGTTTCCAATTAGCGACAAAAGTATCACGCACGGGTACGAATCCCGGCTACTCACTTTCCCAAGCACCATTATGTTCTTTGAAGTCAGCGCTGACTGAGTAGTCTAATGGGTAAGCTTTTACTATCATAAGATATACGCTCAGCTCGTTAGCACCCGGCTGGATCACATTTTTGGGGTTTACGGCTTTGGATCTCCGGGGACGGACCCCTCGCCAGGCGCTGACTGCAAAGAACATAATGGTGCTTGGGACGGTGAGTAGCCGGGATTCGAACCCGTGCGTGAAACTTTTGTCGCCAATTGTTGAACCATTTGTCTAGTCAGCGCTGACCAAAAGTTCTATCAGGAGAAAAAGCAGTCAGCGCTGACTAGACAAATGGTTTAACAATTGGCAATAAAGGATTCACGCACGGGTTCGAATCCCAGTGGATCGCTTTCAAGGCACC